CTTAACCATTATGCCATCTGCTAAGTCCCAGAAATCATTGTTTATTAAAAGAGATTTTTGCCTTAGGGCATGTGCACTCACTGTAGAGAGAGACAGAGACAGTGAGAGGGAAAATGAGAAATCAGAGAGAAATCACCCGTTAGTGGGGATGGCCACGCCGCAATCATGCCCAGTGTGATTTTCAAGCCACTGGGTTTGGGACTTGAACCACGGTTGGTCATGTGGGAGTCCAGCAACATAACTGCTATGCCATTTGCTGCTCCCTAGAAATTATTGCTTTTTGAATATGGAAGTAGACGAATGAGCGAATGTTTATCTGTTCAGCTTACAGTACATTAAATATCACAGTTAATGTGTCTTAAGCCTGTCTTAACCATCTTTAATGTGGATTCAGAGAGGGCTCAAATCCACCATTGAACAGTGCTTTTGTAGAAGGCTTTGCCCCCTCACCGGTGTGTTGTTCACAATGGCTTTATTACAAAGTGAATTTGTGGGCCAGCAGGTGGTTAAGGCACTGGATCCCAAATGGTGACTTCCCCAATTCTAGCCCTGGACCTGGCAACTTGAAAACACTCCAGGTACATGTATGTGTGTGTGTGTGTGGCCAAAATTTTGAAAGGAGAACAGAGGAGGAGGGATTGCAGGGGGAGGGATGATTTCTCACTGTTCTTCTCTCTGTGTCTCTGGTGAGTACACACACACCCTATGTCAAAAATCTAAAATTGAAAAAAAAAATTTGCTTTTTATCACAAGTGATGGAAAATTTCTTATATTTCTAAAATATACTATAATGAAATTAAAAATTTTCAGACAATTCAAAATAATATGCCCTTCAAATGTGAAGTTTGGGGGGCCAGCAGTTAGTGTAATGGCTATGTCGCTGGACTCCCACGTAGTCGACTGCGGTTCAAGTCCTGGACCCGGTGGCTTAAACTCATGCCGGGCGCGTGTGCATGCATGCCCAAGATCTCAAGAGGAGAATGGAGGAGAAGGGATTGCGGCATGGCCATCCCCTCTGGGGGGTGATTTCTTGCTTTCTATCTCTCTGTCTCTCTGGCGAGCGCACGCGCCCTATAGCAAAAACCTCTCAAAAAAAAAAAAAAGTGAAGTTTGGTTATTTTATGTGCCACAAAAGCAGGTTTACTTTTTGTCCAAGAAGATTATGGAGGGAAGGGATTTGGTGACGTGACAAAAGTATGAGAGATCTGCAGAAGTTCATGGAAAACACATATGAAAAATCACGTATGGATTTCAGTCGCTTTTATGCTAAAATAAGCTCATACTTTAATTTCATTTTTCTACGAACTTTTGAAATCTTCTGATTTGCGACATAGTTCAAAACCTTCTACATTTTATTTTTTTATGGAGAGGTTTTTGCTATAGGGTGAGTGTGCTCGCCGGAAAGATAGAGACAGACAGACAGAAAGCAAGAAATCACACCCCCGCCCCCAGCGGGGATGGCCACGCCGCAATCCCTTCTCCATTCTCCTCTCGGGATCCTGGCACGCACGCACATGCGCCTGGGACCGGGACTCAAACCGTGGTCGACCACATGGGAGTCCAGCAACATAGCCATTATGCCAACTGCTGGTCCCTAAAACCTTGTACTTCTTAACACCCTGACACGCCAGCTCCCCTCGATGCCTCTCACACGTGGTCTGGAACTCTGTTTCTTAGGCCGCATTATAAAACATTTGAGTCCAGGGTCCACTTTCTCGGGTTCCTGAACTGCTCTCCTGTGTTTTGGTGACGTGTGTGGGGGGAGAGGAGTGCAGGGTGCACACGGCTGTGCGGGACAAGGGCGCCGGCCCTGCTATGTTCTTCCCTGTCCTCCACCCCATTCTCTCATCGCTGTCACTGTTCATTTACCTGAGAACGAATGCGTGTGTGCTGTAGACCCTGGGGCCCCAGTGATTCCGGATGAGCTGACCTCAGAGCCGCAGCCGAGCAGGACGCAGCCCACGGGTGCCTGGCCCTGTTCATCCGTCATCTGATCTCTTGAGGCATGACGCACGGCTCAGAATGGACACACTGAAGTCAGAGGTTCAGTTTTCTTGGCAGAAACACAGTCGAGGACGCATGTCCCCTGGTGCTTTCTGCGGTGGGTTAGTTCCCGGAGCCACCAGGGCAGGCTGCGGGGAACAGGGCTCAGCTGTCAGGACATGGACTCACGAGCCCAGGTGTTTGGGAGGGAGCCACAGTGGAGCTAGCTCAGAAAGCAGAGGTGCCCCGAGTCGTGTGAGGCTGCCCAGGACCCCGTCCCCAGATCTAGCAGACCACCTGGCACAAAGCAGGCACGTGGGGACACATGCGGACACGTGCTGAGCAAGTGAGAGGGTTAGTGCGTGAGGACAGGGACGTCGGAGCAAGCACCATAGCCAGGGCAGCTGCATTGCAGATCATCCCAAATCCTGGTTAAGGGTTCCCATTTATAGGGGAAATTTTATTGTTCTCTTTCCTGTACGCTTGTTCTAGCTCTTTTTTTTTGGTAAGTGTAAGGAATGGGCTGACCACGCAAGAAGATAGAAATGTAGAACCTTTAATAGGAGCACTCCTGGGCGAGGTTCGCTGGTCGGCAGAGAGAGGGGGAGACGGGCTGGAGAAGCTGCACCCCAGGGCGGGGTTTAGCAATTTTTATAAGGGTTGAGGGGGTATCTGAGAGGTAGAAACAGCCCATGTATGGTAAAGGCTTGGGGGGTAGCAGACTACTGTGCCATGTAAGGTCTGGTGCCGTGTGCGGAGGGGAGCCCCGCGTGCGGAGTGGGCCGAAAACCTCTCCAATAAATGAATGAATGAATGAATGAATAAATAAATAAATAGACCCTAAAACTAAAATAAAATAATTCTTTTAAGGGACAAGCATATGGCGTAACAGCTATGTTGCTGGACTCCCATGTAGTTGACCATGGTTCGAGTCCTGGATCGGAGGCTTAAACTCATGCTAGGTGCAAGTGCGTGTGTGCCCAAGATCCCTAGAGGAGAATGGAGGAGAAGGGATTGCGGCATGGCCATCCACGGGTGTGTGTGTGTGTGTGTGTGTGTGTGTGTGTGTGTGTGTG